TGAAAACTTGGCATCTCTGTCACGTAGTTTCACAACCAATTTATGTGAAAAACAGTCCCTTAAAAACAGGGATTTAGGTATGTAATTAAATGGCAAGGGGATTGAAACCATGAAATTGAGATGTGAAAGTGCACTCGGTGCGAGCGCAAACAACGACGGCGTTGTTTGGGTGTGGAACGGATTGAAGATGGAAGACAAAGCGTCTGGATGTCAGGCGCTATTAGGGGGAGAGAAAAACCACAAAGCAAATTGTATCATTATGCAGTGAACTTTGAAAAATTTCAACATCCAGGGGCTTATCACCTCTGCTGGCAGCACGTAGTCAGAAATAACTCACTGTGGAGAATTTTTTGACTGTCTCGCTGGGAAACAATTGCTCAGACAAAAATGGGCTGGGACACGTCGTCTGCCACCGCACCTGACACATTAGAGGTACTGGAATTTTGAGTTTAGATGACAAGTTCTGAGTTCAGCGCCGACACAAAGGCTGTTTTGCCTCTTCAAAGGGGCTGAAACAGTGCACTTGAAAGCAAAAGACAGCAAATGACTTAAAATAGTGGATGAGATTGCACAATACATGACGTTTGTGTTTCTGAGTCTCTTGCACTGACAGCGCATCATGTTATGTTCTCTGCCAAAACAAGGGGAGGGTGAGGTGGTGGTGGTGGTGGTGGTGGTGGAGGGGGGGAAGAAGAAATCTGATTTGCAACACAAATGTGGTTAACAGCTCTGTGTTCGAAAAAAAACAACAAGACTTCACCAAACCACAGTTTAGCTGATGAAAAAGTGCCGTATACCCCAGAGTCCGACGGCAACCAGACAACTGACTGCCAGTGAAATGCACAGATCTTGGAGCTATTGTTTGGGAACACTAATTAGTTATTGATAAAGGGAACTCGAGGGAAAAAAAAAAAGTGATGAAGTGCTTATGGGCGATTCGATTTTCTCTTTTTTCAGCTCTTTGTTTTTCAAATGCGGCACACAGCGGACTAATTAATTTCTACAAACACATCAAATTGTAACAAAACTGATATTTTTGCACTTTTTAATTCCAGTGGGAGTTTTCCGCTTTCTTTAAATTTCACTTTTTTTACTCTTCAAAGGTGCCTCGAAGAGATATTTAGTAGAAATTATTCTCATACATGACGCTGCTGAGTCTTTGAAGTTGTTTCCAGCGCTGCTAACGTAAACCTCAGGTTAATCTATATTACTTGGTGCACGCCTCCGTGACAATGCAGCTCGAATGCAAATGGAGTTTAACACTTGTTTGGTTGCAGAGATTTATCATTTACGCGGCTGCAGTCCTGCTGTTCACAGCAGGGACGCCGGCTTCTGGAGCAAAATAATTGAAATGTTATTTTTGTCTATTTTTATTCATGCAATCTGACTGAATGCTCATTGATTGACAACTTAGAGGCTTTATTGACAAAAATACATACATGCACATGCAAGAGGGAGAGATAGAGAGAGAGAGCAAAAACAACCTTCATCTGATCTCTTCTTCCCATTTTTGGGTGGGGTCCCTTTCACTGCACGGTTGGAGGGATGGGGGTTGGCGTGGACGGGGGGTTGGGAGCAGAAGCTTAAACAAGGCTGAGCCGGGGTTGTCTGCCGCTCTGCCAACAAACTGTGCATGGGAATTTTTGTGCAAAGTTGAGAAAATCAGACTTCGCACATTACCAGCTGTACAACAAAGGAGTGGGGCAGCGTGAAAACACAACACCGGGCACGGCGCTGACCGGCCATCCGTGCAAAAGCAACAGCATCTGCTTTCATCCCGAAGTTGTCTCTGGGGGAAAATCTGACTCACACGGTGGATCAAATAGTCTCACTCTGCTTCCTTGGCCGCTTTGCACTCAGTAACCCCGTTTCACAGATCGGACTTGATTTCACTGTACTTTTTTTCCCCCCTCTTCCTCGTTTGAGTGATGCCATGCGTGGGCGTGCCCCCAGCCTACAATGAGGGTCAACAACCATGGCTGCTGTTTATGCAAGTGTCACTGCGGATCCATCAGCGTAGGACACCATGAGTAGCACCCTCAGGGGCTGAACTGAAAGTGGTTCTATGTTTATATCAAAACACTGGTGTCAAGTCGGGATGCATTTAAGGTTACTGTGTTATGTTATGTTATGTTATGTTATGTTATGTTATGTTATGTTATGTTATGTTATATTTAACAGTGGAAGAAGCATTTTTCATTCCTAGCAGGAGTCCTGTGCTTAAACTTTACTTGCAAATTGTACCTAAATAATAAAAAGGTACCAGTGTCTCTGTGATCCATCAGAGGAGGACACCACTAGTGCCCTCAGGGGCTGATCTGAAAGTGGCTCTATGCTTAAATCAATAAACTGACATGAATAAAAGTTTCCATACCCTTGTGAAGACCACGTATATCATGGCAGCCTTGACTCTTGTAATTCAGAATTTCCCCAGATGGAATCTCTAAAACACAAAAAACAATCCTGCATTTTGCTTCTCTCATAGATTTATTAAAGTTCTTCTGAAATATGACAACATTTGCTGGGTCAAAAATACACACACAGCAACCTGAATTGTCTGTTTTAATGCTGTAGAAAGCTGTGGTGATTCAATTTTTTCAGTGACATCGCCTCTCAGCCTCTCAGGAGTGATAACAGTCGACTACAGCTGCTGACTCGGAGCCAGCTTCAATCATTTGATCCACTCATTAGATTCAGCCACAAACAGCCACAGTGGGAAAGTCTGAGGAGCTCGACAATGATCTGAAAAACTTAAACAATTCAAGAAGGTCACCTGGAGCCACTTCAGAGCACTTACAGATCCCACAAATCATCTGTGCAAACCGTTCTAAGTAGAAAGTGCACGACACAGTTGAGTCACAGCCAGGATCTGGAAGAAAAACATAAACTATCAGCTGCTGCTGAGGGACACGCGGTCCGGAGAAGATTCAACCATCACGGCTACCGAAAGGGACAGGTAGCGAAATATTAGCATCACTGTATGTAGATTCTGTTAGATTTCCAGAAGACCTTTAATAAATCTATAAACGAACCAGAATGCAGATAAAAATGCTCGTGTTTCGATGATTGGATTGTAGAAAATGCAGAATGATAGGAGTCATTGGAAACTCAGGGCTGCCATGATACATGTGGTCGTTATAAGTCATGACTGGTATGTTATGTTATGTTATGTGGAAGTAGTATTTACCATTACTAGAAGAGGTTCTGTGCTCAAAGTTTACTTGCAAGATGTACGTAAAGCATCAAAAATAAAACCACTCGTTGTGCAGAGTGGACCTTTCCAATTCGTAACGGTGCATCATGTTTTATAAAACAGTCTCTTATGTGTAAAATCAAGAATCACAAAAGTCTAAAGAAGGAAAGGCACGCACATCCCCGAGGCCCACTGGGTTGGGTGCTGGATCACAAAATGTCAAAAATGAGAAAAGACTGCAGCAGTCTGAGGAAGAGCATTTTGCTCGAAACGTCACGCCAATAAATTGTATAAGGGAGCCTGTTTTTGGTGTGCGGATCGTTCTTCTCTTCTAAAATCAAGAATCAACCAGACACAAGCGCTGCTCCGGTCCACTGATATTTAGAACCTGTCAGGAACACCTCTGAACCACTGACTGCATGTACTATACATCACAGGCTTGTTCATATTTCATCCTGCTTTTTAGTTTCATTGCACCATCATGCACCTTCCTCATGTATACAAATAACTTTATTTATTGTTATTAACTGCATGTGCACAAAGCTTTGGCTCACTAGTGTTCCCCCTGTGACCTTTGCCCTTGCTTGTGTTTTAATTTGTATGTAAAGCTGATTCAGATAATGTACAAATTAACTGGTAAGTATGGAGCATAAACAAAGCATGAAGCAAATGTAACTGGTCATGTTGTGTTATCATATATTTCTGCAAAACCAACACGCTGGGTAACAGCACACTGACATGCATTTCCCAATTACATGTGCCAATCTATTTCATCGACATTCATGTGTCACGGTAACGTTTGTGAGTCTATTTGTTGCCGTGACAGTCGCTGCACAACTCATCAGCGTCGCATCGACCCCGGCAATTGGGTGGGTGCGCTCCCTCCATCCGGCAGCGGCTCCCAATCAGCTGAGCAGAGCGCTGAAAGCAGTCACATGTCTTATCTGGGTTTGTGTTTTTGCCCCTCCACGTGTCAGGATACACGAAACAGAGGGCGGGACCAAAACAAACGCTCTGATTGGTCGGCGGCGTGTCACCAGCTTATGGTCGCGAGGAGGACTGTTTCTCTTAAAGGGCCAGGCGGCGTATTTTTTTAAAATTTATTTTATTAATTTATTTTATTTATTTTTTTCAGCTTAACAACAACATGGAATGAGCTCAATATATCAGGCAAAGACCGATTTTAATCTGCTTTTAAAATACCTATTAATTATTATTTAGGCATAAATGGTAACAAAATAGAAATGGATGGATTTTTAAATTTTATTTTATTTTATTTTATTGGTTATTTATTTGACAGTTAGGCTGCTGAGATTTTGCATAAAAGTCATGAAAATGTGCTTTTTTAAATTAAAATTTTTATTTTGCAAACACCAATTACTGCAAAAAAAATAAATAAAATACTTTAAATGAGCATAGTAATATAATAGATTTTTAAAAGATGCATATATTTATAAGATATAATATCGTGAGACTAAATTGTTTACCTCTGGTACATTTAGCGCATTTAGCTGCTCATGTATTTTTTATTAAGGTGATATTTTTGTTGTTTTTTACAGCCTGCTATCATTACTTTTACTTCCCCCATCGCTGCTCACTTGCTATAAATATACTAAATAAAATAAAATATAAAGGGATTTGTACGTGGATTTTATACCCTCTCGGTGTGTTGTGTTTGCATAACAACTGACTCTGTTCCTTTCACATTATTAAGCAGGGGCGGGTCCAGGGCGGACCGACGCAGGAGGGGGAGAAAAAAAAAAAAAAAAACAGAAACACAACAAGCCCACAAGCTGCAGCTCCAGTCAGCAAACATCCATGAGTGGCTGTAATACAAAGAGGGATACGAGGCTCCGCACCGCAGTCCGCAGGAAGCACGGAGCTAACGGAGAGTCGGCAAGATACCACCGGGCACCACGGAAAACGCGTTCACTGGCGGTGAGTCTGTCTTTATTATTTAAAAAAAAAAATTATATTAAAAAATTAAATAATAATAAAATAACTCCGCACCGCTCCGTGCTTCTTCGCGGGACTTCTATCAGCCACCGTGCGGGGCATGTCCGGGCAGAGAGCGGACTCACCAGGCGGCGGGCGGTCGGTCGGTAGATGCTCTCCTGTCCCTCCTTCTCCTCGTATCGGCTCCTTCTCTGGTGTCGAAGCTGCTCCACCACCGAGGCTGCCCGGTGTCTGACGAACCACCGTCGGTCGGCAGCTTTTTTTTTTTTTTTTCATTACACCGTATTTACAGGTGATTAGCTTAGTTCAGCGAATAACTGCGCATTGTTAAAAATAATAATAATAATAATAGACGGGGTGAGTCTATCCCACGCAGTCACCGACATCTGAGTGTTTCTCGTGTGTTTGTTTTGCACTTGTGAAGCGAAACGAGGAGAAAGTGCCAAGTTAGGATAACGTGAGCCGCGCGGATGAACCCGGAGCTAACCAGCAGCTAGCCGCAGCTGGCTGGAGGTTAAGCTAGCTCACGTTTAAACTACAAAATATACAAACGGGCTCAAAGTCACAGCTTTATCTGTTGTTGCACTGGTGTCAGCGACCTGTTCCGACGAGTTCCTTTCATGGACAGTGTTGTGGAAGTGTGCAGTGACTGGCGTGTGTACGGCGCCGAGCTGCCCGGGATACGGTGCTCCTGGAGCGGATACAGCGCAGCAGCATCCCCGGTGTTGCTCCGGAGACCCCCGTATGAGCGATCTGGATAAATGTCAGCTGTTTTTTGTTTTTTTTATTTTTTTAACTGTGCACTCACAACACATTTGTTTATCAATTTAAATACACCTTAATAATAATAATAATTCACCTTGCTCTGTTGCACACACTAAGTAATGGGAAAAGTGACTTTATTGGTGCACGCCACTTTGCACACTGATATCCACGGGAGATGTAGTTACATGAAAGCAGTGGGTGAAATAGCAGCTGAGCTCACTGTGTGTGCTCCCCCAACCCGAGCTGAGCATGGAGGAGAGCCCGTGCACAGATGGTGCAGCAGAGGGAGCCACTTTCTGCTGGAGCTTTGAGCTCTGACCAGCACCGTGGTGGCTGCCAGGCCTCCCTGCAGCCCCCAGGCAGTGTGCTTCTGTGTGTGTGTTTCTGTGTGTTTGTGTGCGTGCCGTGTCTTTCTGTGTGTCTCCCTGTCTATGTTTGTTTTTTATGTGTCTGACACTATGGTAATACTGCCAGTCCTCTGATGGCTGCCAGTGGAAATTCAAGACAGGGCTTGCAATGCCACTGACACACAACACAAGTGCACATTTGCTGTGAGTGAAACTTGCTGCACAATTGCAGAGATGCCGCTGCTGCTGCTGCTGGCGTGGCATTAATTAATATACTTCTTAATTTGCCTGGAGGAGAAGTTAATACAAATTAAGACTGTTTTGACTTTCAGTAGTACAGCTAATTAGCATGCATTGGCAAAATGGGAGGAGAAAATCATCCTAATGCCCTGGGAAGAAAGGAGGCCAGAGGATGTGGGGGTCACTGATTGTCTTATTTAACCACATGCATCTTACAGTAATGCCATGGCCTTGTTAGTCAGAGTCACAGTGTTTTTCCACAGCTGTTCAACATGTAGTTTCCCTTTTGGACTCCTTATGAAATGACATCATGCAAACAGACACTTTTACAGACTGGTATAGGACTGGGGCCTTCTCGCTCAGTAAACACGATACCAGTGGATCCAGTTTCAACTTTTGCATCTGACAGCCCAGCCTGTTTGTCTCCACTTACACAACAAAAGTAGAAGACAGACAGACACCCTTGACAAAAAAAAAAAAAAAAAAAAACGCCTCAGCTCCTGACTGCATGTAAAATTAGGAGCAGAGCGCACCAACACACACCCTTAAAAAAAAAAAAAAAAAGATGTAACAGTAGTTCAGGTTTGGGCGTGCGGCCAACAAGGAAGAGCTGGTGTTTGTGTTCAGTCGGCACAGTTGAGGATGGAGTGAAACTCATTATCTCCCTCATGAAACGGGCGGCGCGCTCAGAGCATGACAGTCGAGCCAGGACACCGGTTTCACTGAGGTTTCACTCACGCCCTGCACGCTGCTGTGTGTGCAGATTGGTGGTGTGGACAGACAGCCGTCCAGTGATTGTGTGGTTGGTTGGGAGGGAAGGAGGGAGGGAACAGCGACTGTAGGGGAACCTAATCTCCTGACTGTGTGTCCAGATTAAGGTAGTTCTGAAGGAAAAAAAGCCTCTCCGGTGGATCTTTTGGCACTCAATTACAATTTGGCACGTCGTCAGGAGCAGCTTGGCAAAATTTGCTACGGGAGGGCAGCAGCTCTAGCGTAGCGGTTTTAGCCGCCCACTGGGTCCCCCCTACACAGGGTGTTTCCATACGTTTGGCTGGTACTCATCACTACATCAAAACAGATTATTATTTTTATTACATCTCGCCTCTTGTATGCGTCTGTTTACAGGTGAGGTCTGTCTCTGCCTCTGAGACCATCCACCTGTGCCTGTGTCTTTTCAGTATTACCACCACACACAGCATAAGCCTCTTACTGGGCATTATAGTGACTAATAATTTATTTCCATTTAATGCAGACAGGGTGAGATAGTCTTCCATCTGCCAGAGGGCCAAGTTTCCAGTGATAACAGGATGATATTTGGCACTTTTTGTTTGGTCTCAAAACAAATCACACCCAAATTACCTGCAAGCTAAAGATCACAATAGGTGTGAGTCAGTTTCATGAATACATTTTATGTTTACACGGACAAACACGCAACTATCCGTCCTCTAAAGTTTCCGTCCTGTGTCCCCGTCTTCTCTCCAGGGACTTTACCGCTGAGGCGTCGGATGGATGATGAGGAGGAGGACATGTCACGGCCCATCTCGCAGCTCTGGGGAACGCCCTTTGGGGACGTCAAATTCGAAGACCGAGCCACACAGATCGCAGCCGGACAGGCCCTCGCCGCCGTCACCGCCGCTGTGTCCACGTCGCAGAGCCACAACAACAACAGCATCAGCACGCTGCCCTGCGGCTTACACCGGCAGCCTCACATACCCTTTCACGGTAAGGAGGGGGGTGAGCGCGCTCAGGTGATGCGGGCTTACGGCTTTAGAAGCTGAATGTACAGCGCTGGATGGTGTACACGCAGCGTAGCCTCTCACTATTAGTCACTCCTTTTGTCTATTAGGTTGCTCGCTGGGAGCTGTCCTCAGAGATCCCAGTGAATAACTGTTGGTGTGATTATATTACTGTAACACTTACCAAGAACAAGAGACTGCTCTGTCTTTTTTTTCAACTCAAACAGAAACTAAATTCCATTTTGAATTATCACTGCAACAGAGAAAGGATTAGCAATTATTTTTGCACGTCTGTAAAACCCCCCGGTGGTGTAAGACGCTTGCTAACAACTCAAGGAACATGCGTTTTTATTAAACAGTTTACATTTATCTTTACTACATGAAGCCCTGCTGACAGCTCGTTAAGCTAAATTTGATCCCGTTTGTTTTTTCTTAATTTTACACAAGAAAAAATAAAAACCAAACAAGAATTTCATAGACACATAAAGGTACATACCAGTACTAATATAACTATGGGTTAATATAACTATGGGTGTTTTCCCGTGTCTAATCAAATCAGTGTGGCATCACGCTAATTGAATTGAACAAATGTTGAAGTAGGATGTTGTTTGTTTGTTGACTCAGTGTGTGAGAGGTGCCGATTGTTCTGGGTTTAAAGTCACCAATACATAAATACCGCTGACTGTGATTACCTTGACGTTCATTGTGATCGAGCCAGTAATGGATGTCATGCACTTGGCTCGACGCCACCTCTCCTCCCCAAACACAGGCCGGGCCACTGAGTTTCTTAAAGACGTTATGGCCCTCTGTGTGAGAATAGCAGGGCATTCTGCACACATGATAACATAAAAAAAAATTGTTTTTCCTCCAAGTGGCATGACTGCAGAAGCACATGCCAGAGGCAGTGAGTAAACTCAGTGACACGGCCCTCTAAAAGGCGGCAGTTCACTGAGGACCTTGTTGATTTAATAAGGTGTTTGAGTTTTCTTCCTACCAACACTCTCCCTCTTTTTTTTTATTGTTTGTCGACTCTTCAGTTATACTTCGAGTGCTTAGCTTGTAATTTGTCCAGTCACGAGAAGATACAGCCTGTTTGGGTTTCAGGGGCCATTATGGGAGCGTGTTTATTTTGTATTTTTGACTAATCTAGTCAGACACAGCTGTGTTTGGGCCATTAATGCCAAACAAGATAGATATCATAAGGCTGTCGGCAGTTTCTGAGGTTTTTCACTGTCTAGTCCAGCTTCAAAAAGCAAAACATTGGTGGTTGTACTGAACTGAAACTACTAACTACTTAAAACAAACATGAAATACTACTCATGTCTCTTGGTTTTATGGCACTAACACTGACAGCGACGACTTAGAGAAACCCAACGGCAGCTCAAGTTTTAAGAAGCTTGATGTATTTCTTTTAGGCAACGCTGGATTGCGCTCGCATTTTCCCGCTCAGTTTGAGCCCATGGAGGACCGGGGAGAGAGGGAGATTGAAGAGGAGGAGGAAGAAGGCAGAGGGGAAGACAATGACAGAGTGGCGGAGGGGCCCGAGGAGCAGGCGGGGGTGAGCGTAGAGGCGCAAATCGGTCGTAAGCTTCGGGAGATCGGAGACAAGTTCCACCAGGATCACGTTGAACTGGTAAGCCTTCGCTCCTGAGCCGTGAACCAGAGTCACGGTAACCTCCCACTTCACACACCTGGCTCTAGAGCTGGTACGCACCTTAGAGCACAACAACTGAATGCTCTGTTTGGCTGAACATCTGCATATCGAGCCCGTTGTACGTTGCTGACTTGTGCTTGCATGTTTTGCCAGTTTAACTCTTGTTTGGATCAGAACTACCTGGTGCCAGTTCTGTGTCCTGGAAGGGAACATTTTACCAGTTGAAACGACCGCAAACCGCAGTGGCTAAAAATAGCTTTTATGATGATTCAACCACTTTCTTGGCCACGCCGAAGGAAAAAAAAAAAACCCGTCAGTCATCAATAAGTTTTCCTACTTCATGAACGACACAAAGCTGAGAAGTAAAACAAGCATACAAGCAATATCAGGTTTCTCTGTTTTGTTTATTAGCTTGTTGTTATGGTTCGGCTTGTCTCCTGAACCCACTGAAACAGTAGCTCAGTACAAGCAGAGGGCTCCGGAGCTTGTTGGCGGCACTCGGTCACAGTATACCCGTCACCGATACCTCCTCGTTACAGTTAATGGGAATAATAGGTTGTGTTTCCTGGTCTACGATGAAGAAGAAGAAGAAACGAGCGGCTGAAATCATCCGGGAGTGACGGCTACTGACCAATCGAGAGACGTTTCTTTCTTTTACTTCACGCGACGTTTTGGGGACGTTCGGAGGTTCGGTATTTGCAAAGTGAAAAGTTCAGCACACACGGCTTTTGTAATTCACCATGAGTACTTAATTGTGCCCGAGTGTTTGCAGAGCAGTTACTGTTTGGCCTCAGAGTTGCCATTAGTCACATGAGCTTAGTTAATAAGTGCAAATAAACTGGGACAGGTAGGGTTCTTATCTCACCACTGTTCTGCCACGAGCTTTGCCAACAAGGTGTGGCTGTTTTGAAAAAGCTCTCAACTGAGGGAGAAAGTGGGCAAAAGAAAAGGGAGAAAGAGGGGAAAAGAAAGAATGAAAGTTTGGACAGAAGAACAGGTGAGAGCGATGCGACCGTCACGAGCAGCGAGCAGCGAGCGTCTGTGTCTGGGTAGACTTGGCCGGCTGTTTATACGCTCGTCTAAAAATAGAGTCTGACTCACACACTTATAGACGCAGCCAGTAACATGACGGCTACCCACAATACCTCAGTTGTCCCGCCGCCTGCCTCGGCGTGTGCGTCTCTGAGTGTGTGTTTTCAGTTCGCTGTGACAGAGAGATAAGAGAGAGTTTTTTTTTCTTTTTGTCTGCTGTCTGGTTGGTTTCATCCTGCAGGATCTGATAGCGCCGTCGGAGGAATATTCCAAAGGGAGAATAATCACCAGTGATCCTTTCAGATATCCAATCACTTCTCTGTATCGTCTCTGCTGCTATTGTTAGACTTTTTTCACTCGCTTTCTCCGAGCAGAAGTTGCCGGTGTGGGCTAATGTGTGGGTTTCTGTTTATGTGAAGCGTTTGTGGTTTTGAGTCTTGTCCATCACTTTTGACTGCTTCTTGTGGGCAAAGGGACAAAAGTTAAGCTGCTTTAACGCCGAGCGAATGGGTGGAAATACTCATTGTCAGCTCTCCTAATATGTTGAGGTACAATAACCTAAAAAAAAAAAAAACAAAACCCACATTATTCTCCACTGCCCACACAAATGAGCGCAGAAAGATGAGCTTTATGTGGAGCACCAGGGTACTGTTTAAATAAGCCCAGCAGTGTAGAATTAAGGCAATTAAGGACAATTAGGGTTGCATTTAGCGGTGCTGGTTCAGTTCAGCTCAGTCTGCTTGTTCTGCATCAAATCGCCTGTGGCAGACTGTGATTGCTACGCTGGTAGAGAGCCGGGAAACGGGTCGTAACCGGAATGCTTATGCAACAGGCTGCAATATCTGAGCGGGAAGCCCGTGGGAGCCGGATCAGAGATGATGATGATGATGATGATGATGGCGGGGGGAGACTGCCGGATCCAGCAGGAACCCCTTCAGCAGTCCACGAGGGCCCAACACCTCCACAGAAAGTGACAGCTTTCTTCGTAGTCCGACTACGACGACGAGGAAGCAGCGGTGCCACTGGAGCTTCTAGTTCTTGAGTAATGAGTGTCAGATCCTCAGGGTTAAAGATGAGCTGGTGATTTTAATCAACTCTTTCACTTCAGAACAACAGTCAGATTCTGTTGGGCAACGAAAGTCCCTAAGAGAGAAAAAAAGAAAGCGGCTGTGCGTGAGTGTGACAGACGTGTTTTCTAGACACAAGCTCATGTTGTGGAAACATCCCGTCTACTCGGTCATATGCTTTCAACTCACAGGGTTTACCACAGTTCACAAGGCTTCACCTCAGAAACCTGTTATGACGAAATCACGGCGCGTTTCGTAACTTTCACAACTGGCAAGAGCAGCGATCGTGATTAACGGCGATAACTTACGTGTCTCTCTTTTTTTTTTTTCTTGCAGTTTATGAGGCATCAGAGACAGAACCTGCCCGTCTGGATGCGCCTTACCATGGCCCTGTTCGGCTTTTTGTTTCCAAGAGAGGCTCTGGTCCCCCGTCTGAGAGGAGAGCAGAGATGAAGGGACTTCCTCGCCTCGGACCTTGTTGTCTGAACAGAAACAAGGGATCGGACTTTAAAGAGATGGCACTGTAAGATGGAACACGGGTTTGGATTTTGTTTTCTAATTGAATATGAAGACGAGATGAAGAAGACACTGGTCACCGCTGGACGGGCCAGATTACAAGTTCTTTTTGTTGATGTTTTGATTTTTTTTTCTTTTTTTTTTCTCCTGCCTCTCCAAGAAGAAGCCATTGTGTTTGAAGAGATATTTTCGAAATATTTGTAAGATTACCTATTTTGTACAGTAAACTGCTCTTTTTATTTCAAGTCTTGAAGGACCTCCATCAGTCCGGGGAATGCCTTATTCTCTCCTGCCACAGTTCACACACTCTCTCTCTCTCTTTTGCATCAAGAAACTCGTTAAGAAAAGAGATGGGTTTTAAGATTAGGCCACTCTTTGGGGCGACTGTGGACGTTTCTGTGCAGAAGTTACTGATTTAAAACCTTTGAGGACTCGAGGCACATCTCTGATTTAGTCTCTGAAAAACAATAAGCCCTGTACTTATCCTTTAATGTTCCACACTGGCTAATTGGAAAAGGGTTGCAGCACGCCGGTGACGCACCGTCGCTCGCTTTTGTGTTTTTTTTTCTAGCTTCCACTGTAGACATAAAGGACGTCACATCAACCTGTGTCATCCGTCAGCATCTTCGTCTCTGGTACCGCTCACGTTGTTGGAGGTGACCTCACGGCCCACTGTGCAGATTCAGACACTGTCGATTTACAAGCATGTATACTTGAATTTAGGTGTACTGAAGACGCTTAGATCTGTGATTTACGACTTGTGGCCATGTGTTTGTCGGAACGCGTGCTTGCCGTTTGCAATCTGTGCGTTCACTTTGAAACCAAATGAGCACAAAGTTGAACCAATCTCACGCGTTGGGATTACAATCAGGGAACCGGAAACAATCAAGACAGCTGAGAAACTTTGGAGAAAACGTCATCACTTCCCAAAGATTTCCAGGATTTATTTCTCTGGCTGAGTTTGACAATCGCTTTTATTTTATTTTGTTTTTTTTGTTGCCCTTTGCTGCATTGTGGGTCGCCTGTGAACGAGTCAGCAGTTTAAGGGGTGAGCAATATTCAAGCCAGTGGAACGAGTGACAGTCGAAGAGATCAGCAATCAAACAGGACCTTTCCCACCATATTATCTGTATCGTCGATGTAACACGCCGCAATTTTTTTACAGATTTCTTGTTTGTTACAGAAACATGTTGGGGTTACAGAGATGCATTTTTATTTTATTTCACTCCAGGTGTAAATGTCTGCAGCACTGATCGAACCCTGACGTGCTAATTACACGTCAGACACCAGATATCTGCCAGCGGTGCATTCTGCTTGTCAGGACGGCTTCTGTACAGTTTAAAACCCATTTTGTTTTTTAATCAACGCACCGACACATCGGGTCACACGTTTCCTCGGCGTGACGACGCCACTGCATCGACGCAGCCACTGTTCCTAAATGTAAAGTCTTTAAGGACTGACTATGATGTTGAAAATTCCTCATTTGATGTTTTATTTCAGTCTGTTGTAGATTCATGATATGAACTTTCGAAGACACTGATGGGTTTTTTTTCTCCTTTTTTTTTTGTTGTTTTCTTCAGGGAGTAGTTAATAATAACCGCGTTAATTATCGGACACTTGCTTACGAGCTGCTAAAAAACAATCAGCTTCTGAGTGAGAAGGCAGACCGACGCCGCTGGTCGAACAAGCAAAGATGTTCCATTCGACTTTTTTACATCTTCCAACGCGTTACAGTGTGTTACAGATTGTCATTTCTTTTTTTTTTTTTTGCTTTTACTACAGGAGTAGCCGAACCAAAAGTTTGTTTCCTGCAAACACTGAACACTGAGCCAATCCAGATAGTTGTGACACACTCGCTCATCTCCAGTCCAAAGCCTCTCGTTTAACTACTCCCTGTTTCCTGACGAGAACAAGTTTTGTTTGGTTTCTTTGAGATAATTTATTCTAATTTATTTTGTGTATATTTGCCCAGTGCTACTGTATAGATGCTATCTCAGTGTGTACAGTCCTTTTCTTCTCATTGTTGAGGTGCATTCAGTTGCGTGTTTGATGCCTGTGTGTGGGGAGGTTGGACTAAAGCCATGTGCCTCGTGCATTCTCACACGAACGCTGTGAGTCTTTACAAATCACGTGGAGGAAAAAAAACAAACAAACAGACAATCAAATGTACAAAATGTGCCTTGTGAGTAACAGACCTGCCGCATCATCATCATAAACACTTGGCATAATTACCCCAAAGTCACTGGTCACAGCTCTTGTTTCACTTGGGCTCTGTGAGATCAATATACAAAAAAAAAAGTCTTTTTGATTTCTCACATCAGCTCACGAGGCACAGGCTCAACCTTTGACATCCGTCAGCACGAACGGCGAGTTTCACCATGCAAAACCTTCTCAATACCAGAAACGACTGTTTGCAACGTGCACTGTAAAAAAAAAAAAAACAACAAAACAAGACAAAAAACGACTATTTTTTATCTGTATACTGTATTTTGCGCCTCTCTCTTTCTACTCCTGTGCTGAACTTCCCCTCTAGATTCTTGAAACTTTCTAAGATCTGTTAATATGCTGGATCGGCCCGGCTCGCCCGGGTTCTTTTGTGCTTTATTATCTACAATCTAGTAGGGCTGTGGGTTTACGTTTGAAGGAGGAATGAGCCACCACGGTGCCCAGTATTACTTGTACGTGAGACGGGTTGAAGAGCCGGCCGGCCGGTCGGTCGGCGCGCGGCGTCGATCTGCCGCCACCGACCGCGGTCGCTCGCAACCTCGACTCAAGTGAAACGTTTGTTATATGTTCAACCTTCAGTGTCTTTAATATCAAATTTTTTCAATCGGTTTTTTGAATATCCAAGAATTCAAGAGTGCATCTTTACTGTCACGTGCTGTGATTTGGTGTTTTTTATACATTAGACATGAATTTGACACAGCTACCGTTGCTATCTTTATAAGAAAACGTTTTAGCAAAATTTTTCCATAACTTTTTGTAAGAAGACGACGAAAGAACTACGACACGACTTTTGCTTTTCTATTTTTTTTTTTTCCAATGTTGTGGCATTTTTTTTTTAATTTTTTGGATATTGCCAAGTCTGCTGTGTCACTCTCAGTTCAAGGGCTTTTTTCAATATATGTAAATGGAGTAAAAATGCATGTCCAACATTCCTGAAAAAAAAATCTGTATCCTAAGGATTTGAATGTAATTTAATGGAGTGAAAAAAAACCACAATATCTCTTTTTAATACGTGAAATGAACAGTGGAGCTTATTTCAGACGTTGCTTTCTTTACGTTCAGAGTGGTCTCAAGGATTTCACATTCATGTGTCCTATGAAGTGAGACCCAGTCCAGATGTAGCAGTTTTTGATAAAGCATTGGCTGTGTTATCTTTGGGACTGCTCTGTTTCTCCTGCTCGGCGTTCAGACGGCGGCGCAGGACACTGGAGCGATGGAGGGGTCGGAGGAGGAGGAGGAGGAAGAGGAGGAAGAGGAGGAGGACGGGGGATGTTTGTTCTTTTTCTAGTGCAATATGCTGTACATAAGAGCTTGGCTCACAAAATCTTACAATTTCTCTTAATTTTTTTTGCTGTTAAATGGGTACATCGCTGTTTTTTTTTTTGTTTTGTTTTTTTTTTCATTAAAACTTTATGGACAATTGACGCGGCTTGTGCTTCGTTTTCTTTTCTCCTGAAACATGACGGGGTTTCCGACACACTCACAGATTTTCCTGTCGATCTTTTAATTTCTTCTTCTTTTTGCTGCGCAGACTGTCTGAACTACGACGTGTTTGTAGAACAAAAGTCTGTCTGCAACTGACATAAGGCCGTATGCTGGTTCCCGACTCGCCTTCATTTTAAATCCAAATTAGCAACGGGCGATGATGTGGTGTTGTGTTTGCTCGTGTAAACAGCACGGCCTAGTTTCACAAACCGAGTAAACAAGGAATGAGAAAACTTTATTTGCAACAAAAATGGGTAAATTACAAATAAATCTAAGTAAATTGATGTATTAATTATGTGAGTCCTTAAAGGGGTCAACAAATAATCATGCTGGAGGCCTCAGCAACGTAACTGAATATGAATTGAATTAGAGTTGTTTAATTTGCAGACGTTTCGTCATAAACCAATTAAACAGACAAACATTTTCAAGAAACAAAGACATAGAACTTATCAAATTTGCATCCAGACGGGGGGATTTTTCTGAAACAAACATCAGAGTAGTCCATGTAGTATTTGAGATATTTCAGATAAATCCACATATTACCAGAGCCAGTGGGATTCAACCTCTGGGAGCCATGAAAGTACAAAATGTTTTAATTTACCAGGTAGATGCTGAACTGTTCTACAGAGGAAG